AACCACACACAATCCCCCCCCAAAAAAAAAACAGGGCAAAGATGACCAGAAAACAAACCAAACAGCATGGCAAGTGGTCCATTATGTCCCTTACAGAGGGGTTTGGGAAGAGCCAAGCCCTCAGCTGTACAGTGGCACCTCAAGCCACATGATTCTTTCTTGTTGTTTATTGTGCCATTCACCTGCTCTGGGATTCCCAGCTGGGCCTCCAGCTCACAGCTGTAGTCTTCAAACACTGTCTAGGATTCATTCAAATGAGCAGATGAGTGTTACAAGTCCCACTGCAGAGAACCTATAGGTCCTGTCATCTCTGTAAGAATAGTCTGCAATCTAAGTCTTATCCCTGAAGACAACGCACAGCTCTGAGCTTACTTTTATTCCAGTATTTCCACAGTGCCTTTGAACTGATTCCCTTAATACAGTTATTGCTCTGTCCTGTCCTCTTCAGGCTCTTCTTTCTTTAATATTTCAGTTTATCTGGGATCCAGTAGCCCTCTGGGGCCTTCTGGCCGTGAACACTTTGTGTATTTTAAACTATTGGTACTAGCATGTTTCTACAAATTAAAATTCTACAAATTAACTACAGGGATTCTGCTTTCATTTAATGGCATTTGTGATAGAAGAACTTGGCCTTTAATCCTGTCTCCCTTAGCTATATGCTAGAGTTCTCAACTACTTCAAACGCAATTACAATTATCTGTGCTATCACAAAACCTCTTGAAAACACTTGTCATGGGGTCTCTGGAATTCTATTAATGAGAAGCAACCAATGTCAGTTAAGCGAAACATCCGAGTTCATGAATGTCATCTCATGCTCTCATAACTTGAAGGGTATTGCGCAGCTACGAAGTACTTAGCACGTGCAACAAGCACTCTGGTCCCAGCAGCCAGAGATTGGCCCCTTCATTCAGTAGACCAACGTGCTTATGTTTCCACACCTGTTTTCCATTCCTTTGGCCCTAACCAGTAGCTCAACAGAGCATCCTGCACTGTGAATAATGAAGAAAAATAAAAAGCTTGTTCAGTTCCCTCATTGCTCCTGATTTCTTCCTAGCTGTGCTGTTGGCTTTCTAATACTCATCTTCGTGTGTTCCCCATGTGGCTCTGTATTCCCCCAATCCTGTCCCCAGACACCTTCTTTCTCTGTCCTGAAACTTCTTCCTTCGTAGTTGTCCTTCTCAGTGAGTCCCTCTTGCTCCTGCATCTTCAATTTTTATGTTTTATTCATTCATCTCCCAGCTATGAAAGTGGGTTTCCATAAGGTAAAATAAGGCACACATCCACAGCATATCCATTGGAAGTGCAAAGCAGCCTACCCTCCTGTCTCTTAGGACTAAGGTACTTCTCGTGTACTGCAGCGTGTGTGCACATGGACAGTTCGTTATATGAGAGAAGCTAACCAGCATCTTCAGCCTGGCTTGTCTTCAGATAGCTTAATTCTTGTGTAACCATATCATGAGATTGTAGCTTTTCAGAACAGAGAGTGAGTTTCATTCTGTGCTGCTGAAGTGCTGTGAGTTTTTCTTGCTGGTGTCTACAATAATACGTTATTGTAGTACATTAAGGCTTTGCACTGAGCAGAGTGACAGAATTTAACTATTTAATTGCATGATTTCAGTTTGTACTTCCTTTGTGTTCTGTAAAATGTTTCATGATTTGTTGACTGAAAAGCATTTTTACAATGTCGGTATAGGAAAAGATGAGTAATATAGCACACAAAATACCAGTGTTATTTGTGGCATAGCAATTACCTGTATTTGGAACCTCACAAAACACATTAATCTGGCAGCCTTGTAAACCTCTCTCCATCTGGCTGGTTGTGAAGTAGGCATGTGAGGTGAGTTATACATGCAGCTTCTGATATGCTAAATAAGCCAATTTCGTGGCTTCTTAGCACCAATGCATGCACACCAAGTATATAAGAATGCATGGTACTGGAAAAACATAGGAAAGCATTGCATTTACACTACTGAATTTGGGTTTATATGTACATGAGATTGTGGGATGAGGTTTTATATTGCTGATGTCACTTATGCAGGAAAAAAGTTGGAAATGGGTAAATCCAAGGGTTTTTTTAAAAAAACTCTCTCTGTCATATTCAATCTCCTTAGGGATTCCTAACTGCTATGAGGCAAGAGACAACTCGCATGAATTTAGCAAAAGGATGGGCACTGGACAGTGTTGTTTTACACAATGAAGTGACCAAGATGATGAAAGAAGATGTTGTTGGCCCTCCTCCTGCTGATATAGGCGGGGTTTACATATATGGCCTTTTCCTCGAAGGGGCAGGTTGGGACCGCAGAAACAGTAAGCTGGTTGAGTCGGCACCAAAGGTAAGGATCAAGTGAGCATAACTGACTGTGGCATAACATAGTGCGCTCAGGGAACACCAGGAAGCATTCTGAGTGCCTGCAGTAGTGGTTTCACAGCAGGTTTTAAGAGGGTAAAACACTAGCAGGGCTGGGGAGGGGAACAGAGTGTTTACCCACCAGAACTGAACAAAAAGACTTCTGTCAGAAAATGAACTTAGGATGCACGGCACTAGAGCAGACCAGATGCCAGACTCCTTGGCTTCAGGGGCCCTAGAAGCACAGCTCTGATTAAAATAATGCAACCCACAGTCAGCCTTCTTTTGACTGACCAGGTGGGATCCTATCACAACTTCCAAAGCCCAGGACTGGGTTTGATGACAGCTGCTGTGGAGGTCAGTGTTTGGATGACTAGAAATCCCTGGCATTTGTTTTTGAATAGGAGGAAGAGTATTAGTTCTGGGCTTATGCTCAGTTATCCATGCACAGAGTTACATTTTACTGGTGTGACTAAGCAGATTTAAAACCTAGCTATAGAGTAGTGATTAGATGCTGTGGTCACTGCCCAGGGAAGGCTGCCACTGACTTTTACCAAACCAGTGATAACTGTCCTGGAATTGAAGTTGAGGTAATTCCTCTCCGTAGGTAAAACACTTCTGTGTCTGGCTGAGAGCAAACTTTCCCAAACCAGACCTTGCCAGCTGTAGCTTTTGGTGACAGCTGTTGCTCGGTTTGTCAAAAGACACCTCAAATACGGAGTTTACTCAAGTGCTCTGGAATGTTCAGCAAGCCTCCTTGTTGCTCTTGGGTTTGGGTCTTTTTTTCCACCCCGTCAATGAATAGTTTATATTGCTGGAAGACCTGAGGGGATCTAGTCTGGACAAACATCCAAGAGGGACCTTGGATCTTTGAAGCTCCACAGCCAGCAGTGCAGAGATAACAAGGAGGCTTGCTAAATGCAGCTTGGTCTTGGTAGCTCCAGTTCTGTCATTCAGGGAACAGGAGGTGGGGAAAGAATGGGGAACACTAGCCAAAGGGGCAAAGGATGGGGAAAAAAGACGATGTTCTCTCTCCCTCCTAGAACCACCCTGTTGTTTTTCCATCTGCTTCCATGGTGTGTAGTTTTCCAAGTTTCTGCTGCTTTCTTTTCCTTCCAGACTTCCTGACATCCGTTGTCCCTGAGCTGCCACTGGCTTAAAGTTAGGCTCAATGTAGTAGTGAGCACAGCACTTGTGTCCTCACGTGTACCTCTGCTGAGGTGCTGGTGCTTTTGCTGAAGGCCATCACTGTTCCAGCGTTTGGCGTTCAGATACCCTGTCCTGCTTCTCTAATGCTGAGCCCTATGTCTGTTTTAACTTTCTCAGGTGCTGTTCACAAGTCTTCCTGTAGTCCACGTGTATGCTGTTAGCACAGCAGCGCTACAGGACCCAAAGAAGCAACAAGGAAGTGTGTACTCCTGCCCTGTCTACAAAAAGCCTCGGAGAACAGATCTGACGTACATTTTCTCCTTGTATCTGAAAACAGTGCAGAATCCTGATCATTGGACTTTACGGGGGGTTGCGCTGCTCTGTAATTCGAAATAAGGACCAACAGATAGCTATAAAGAAAGAACCACCTAAGAAGAGTCACCTGCAGCCAGTCGGACTTCTGTTGTTATTTACAAAGTGGTGGCTACCTTCTCATAGGGGTATGGAAATTAGCAAGTGACGTATAGAGATTGTGTTAATTGCACATAGATCAGTTTACTCTGTTCACAGCAAAAATACTAAATGCGTTTAACCTTGGAATATCAGAGGGAAGACAGTTGCAGGTGTAAGATTTGGCATCTGTTACAAAGCAAGTGAGAATATAATCAACTAGCTTGCTCATAGTGGAAACACTAGGAAAAAAATGCTTGTGATTGTGATAGTGATAACTGCTTTGACATTTATGGTGGTTCTTTTGTAGATGTTATCTTATTAATACAAGACTTCTTCATAATATACTATAATATAATAAACTTTGTAGTTAAAAACTTATAATCCATAGCATTATTAAAGCTGCAATGACACGTGAATTAAACGTATGGTAAAACTTTATCTGCATATATTCCAATGCACAATTCCTTTGATTTTACATTTCTAAACTTAGTGGGTGGTTTTAGAAATGGATGCTACCATTTCCTTGGATAGTCTTGCTTATGCAAAAGATCATGGAAGTTGTACAAACAGGCAAGTTTATCTTTGCACAAGTAGTGGCCCTTGCACATATTAACTCATTTCTAAACCTATATCCCAATATAAGGAAGATGTGCACACTCCCCCATTATTAGTGAGAAAAAGATTGTGAAACTCTTCTCAGAGTAAACACATCTGAACATCAGTTTGGCTCTATTACTACTCACTCCATTGGTGTTTGTGCCTGAATCCTGCAAACTCAAATCTCTTAACTGCTTTTGTTCTGTATTTTGCATCAGTGTAGGTAAAAAAAAAAAAAAAAAAACAAAAAACAAACAAAAAAAACGGGTAGAAGACACACAGGCCATTTCTGGGAGTAGATTCAGCTGAAATGGTTGAAGTAATTTTTGTGTGTTACCACCATTGCTGTCTACCCTGTAATTGAAGGGTGATTGCTACTGCTCTTTTAATAGATGGACAGCTATTGGCAGAAAACGTTTGGCTTTTTTCAGTAGCACAAATTCAAAGCAAAAGAAATTGCTGTTGATTGTTACGAAAGAAGGACTGGGTGTGAGTGCTTTGTTAATCACTTTTTTCTCCTTGTAAACACTTTCAATTTTCATGTAAACACTTCAATTTCTTTTCAGCTGGCATCAGAGAAAGTAGTTCATCCTTTCCCATAATGAGTTTTACTCTGCAGTTAGCAATTGCAGGGCTCTTTCTATGAGGAAGTTTGATATTCACACTCCCGCCCACAACTCAGCAGAAAGTGCCAGATTTGTTCTTGGAAAACAGAGCAGACAGGGACAGGGTCCCTTTCTCCCACTGAGCCGGGAGCAGCACTTGTTTCACACACAGTGCCGGTGAGATTATCTTACCGAGTGAAACCACCTATTCAAAAAATATACACCAGGCCTCTCTGCAGTACGGCTGTACATCAACTGATTTAATCAAGAATTTTGTTTCTGAAAAGGGTAAAGGATTGGGCTTCAGGACCGTTGCTCTAGGAAATTATGAAAGAGTTAAGAGAGACTTCAAGCGGGAATAGGCTGTGCTGTTGTATAGAAATTGAGGTTGTAACCCATAGTGTTCTCCCCATCCTCTACCTGTATGAGGGAATATGCAGTAAATTAACTTTGATAATACCTTAAAATGAAGAGTGTGCATTGAAATAATTTGCACAGCTGAAGAACTCACTACTTGCTATGAAAACAAATCATCCTCTGAACAACTGAAGTTAGAAGTAAACATTAAAAAATACATATTTGATAGAGGTTATATGTGATGCTACGTGATAAGGTCCATGGAAACTGCAGCACTTCTTTTCTTTGTCAAGTAAAGTGAGAAAATTAAATGCTATGTAAAGAAAATCTATAGGCAATTATCTTCTAGCAGTTAGTGTTTCCACTGTATAAGAATGCAAAGAAGTAGCTTCTTTGAACTTGGACATTTTCATTTCAATAACTAAACCCTGTTTGTCAGTTTAGGAAAACATCAAATCTTGCAGAACAGCATGAAGGCCATATTGCAGAATGTCCTGGTTTTGGCTGGGATAGAGTTAATTTTCTTCCTAGCAGCTGGTATAGTGCTGTGGTTTGGATTTAGGATGACAATAATGTTGATAAGATGCTGATGTTTTTAGTTGTTGCCAAGCAGTCAGGGACTTTTCAGCTTCTCATACTGGCCTGCCAGCGAGAAGGCTTGGGGTGCCCAAGAAGTTGGGAGGGGACACAGCCAGGACAGCTGACCCAGACTGGCCAAAGGGATATTCCATACCGTATGACGTCATGCTCAGTATAGACCGGGGAGGGGGGTTGGCCAGGAGGCAGTGCTGTACAGGAACTAGCTGAGCATCAGTTCCAGGTGGTGAGCAATTGTGTTGTGCATCACTGTTTTTGTATATTCTTTTATCATTATTATTATTATTCTCTTCATTTTTGCCATATGAAACTGTCTTTATCTCAACCGACAAGTTTTACCCTTTTCTTTTCGATTCTCTCCCCCATCCCACTGTGGGTGGGGGGAGTAAGCAAATGGCTGTGTGGTTGTTTTAGCTGCCTGCCAGGTTAAACCACGACACAGAAGAACCAGACACATCATACAGTATTTCACTGAATATAGCTCCAATTTTATACAGAACTGGAAGAGGAACATAGAGTCAGCTGGTTCCAGAAAAGACTTCCTATAACTAGTGAAAAACCAACCAAACACAGCCTCCAATCTATCCTATAAGCAGCCCCCCCCCCTTTTTTTTCTTTTTGCATGTAATTACAGTACAGTGATGTACAATTTACTGCTGAAAGAAATGTTTTCCTCTCCCTGTCTCTCTTGCCCTGTCCTGCCCTTCCATTCAGTGGAGTTACTGCTTCCAATCTGACAACATTAATTTGATTTGAAATGTCATTGACACACTATAACATCGACCTTCCCCAACCAGTGTTCCCTAGTTACTATTGCTAAAGCTGTTTCCCTTCAAATGTGATGTACACCAGACTAAATGAAAGAACTGGCAGGCAGAATATTTGAAATCAAACTAATTATATTTAAATTATAGATTAACAATTAGCTGGGAGTCCTCAAACAATGTGTATAGATAACCAAGTTATGCTCTGCTGTTAAAATGAATCTGAGATATTAAATACAATCATACAGCTTTTGGCAATATTGTACAAGTTTCACACAGATAGTAATGACTAACATTGCTTTAAATAAGTGCTTTGAAGGCAACTCCGTTTAAGAATGAAGAGAGCAATACAGTCCTGCACCCCATGTCAGCGTAGCGGCCGTGTTTACAAACATATCTGATGTCAGGGCACTGGCTCCTGAGTGTTGCAAATAAACAGCATTCCATACTCCAAAGGGTGTCTGTCTCATAATCCCTGAGGCTGTGGCTGGTCGATAATGATGATGATAGGAAACAAAGAATTGGGTTATGGATTGGCCCTGTACTTCAGCGGCTTTGCAGAATAGAGTTTAATTGCAGTGAAGCTCAGTAAAAGCACAGAGAATGGAAAACAAAACAATTCCCTTGTCTGGTCTCTTACATTTGTGATCCTATGCCCTCTGATCCTCTGGATACAGTAACAATTCTTTAAAAGATCTTGAGGAAATTTCAGTTACAATATTCTAATTTGTTTTCTCTATTTATCCAGAACCCATGCATTAATCTTATTCCTTTTTTACTGCTTCATACCCTCGCCTTTCTCACAGTCACATCTTTCCCAAACATGAATACGATACCTCATTCTCTTTTCCTCCTGCTATTCCATATTTAACATGTCTTCTGATTTTTTATTCTTACTCCGTAAGTGCCGAAAATGCATTGCTTACCTACATCAAACCTTCCTCTTCCATAACTCTGGAAATACTCTTTAGTCATGTCAGGAGCTTCGTTTTTCCACTGAGAAGAAACACAATTTACTCAACGCCCTATCATTCCTGCCACATTTTGTCACACCCTGGCTAAAGCAGAAATTTCCTCCTTCTGCTCTTTCAGTGAGGGCCCTTAAATGAACAGATTTGTACAGCTGAATGGACATTTTTCATACTTCTTCCTTTTGCAAATACGAAGTGATAGCTTTGTTGTTGTTTTCCGATTAGAGGAGCTGGTATAAGATAATGGAAAATGTTTTTATACTGTTGTACGTAAAACTAAAGAGAGCAATTAGGCTGTGAAGTGACTGCTAAATCAGTCTTGAAAATACAGCAGATTTCCATCTCCCTTTGACATGGGAGTTCCATTTGGGTTAAATGGCCGATGTCTGTCGGCACACTGCGAGGCAGAGGGGCAGCCCCTTCGCTCAGTTTGCATGGCTTGGCTTTTGTCGGGAAGACGACACTACAGACACCCGTGTAAATGACAGAACAATACCAACACATGTTCTGTGATATGACACAAATTCACACTTTTTCTAAAGCTGAGTGAATACATACTGTGTTCTCTCTTGTTCAGTAAGGATAGTATGATGTGTTTGCTAATTGATTCCTTATGCCGATTGCTTTAAGTCTAGCAAAGGGACATCGTCACCTCCTCCTCCTTCTTTTCCTTCCTGCTTAAGAACGACTTCTGGGATTGTCACTCCTTTTTCAGTTGACTGGGAAGCACCTTTTGTTGCACCATTCTTGTCTTTTTTTACCTTAGTGATCACTTCTGTGTAAGAGATTTCTTCGGTGAAGGGCTCTGCTGCTGCGAGCTCAGAGGCGATGTGCACACGGGCTTCCTGGATCCCCTCCTGACCTTCGGCTCCTGTTCGTTCTTTATTTTTTTTATGGATCTTGAACGTCTCCTTCATTGGGGCAGCTTGTGAAATGGTTTTCTTGATCCTTATCCCAGATTGTTTCAGTCTCTCTCCTGACTGCCTGATCCTCTCTCTCCTCTCAGGGGTCACTATTCTAGTTCGAAGCCTGTTTACCTTCTTGCCAAAATTTTGTCTCGTCTTTTGGATATTTTCCCTTGAAAATGCCTTTTTGATACCATCTATGCGCCTCATGCCTGATTTCTTGAACTGGGCTGCTTTGCTTTCTTCGATATAATATTCTTCATCAGAAGACAGATCGTCAGGTGCGAAGAAATCATCCTCTAGAGTTTCACCTGCTGTCCTCTCTTTGATAACAGAGAGAGATGAAGGACACTCGGTTTCCTCCTGTGAATTAAAGCACAGAGTCATCTTCCAGTAAGGGTGTTTTACAAGGATGGTGATTCAAGCATTGTGTTTGTTGGCTTGTGGTTAGTTAATGCTAACTGAAATACAATATCGTAACAAAGTAAGGTAAGCTTGTACCATCGTACGTGATCTATACAGGATACAAACTGCAGAAGAAACCTTTGCCAAGTTCTGTAAAGACATCATACCTGATTAAAGATTTCTTGTCGGTGCGTTCTACCTGAAACTAATGAATGCCATGGTCCTATGTTTACTGGCCCCTAATGGTTTTCAGAGCAGTTTTGTCTAGTTTATGGTTTTTTTGAAGCTGCTTCTCAGAGATTGGACTGAGATCCAATTATTTATTGCTCACCAATAAAAGTAGACATTGTGCAGACAAAATAGGCTCTTGTGCTCGTGTCAGCTGTACACTCTTCCAAATGAGTGTCTCGATGCCAGTAGCTTCTGCCCTTTGCTGTCACCAAGACAATTGCACATTTTTGACTAATTGGAACTTAGCAAACATTTCTGTTGCTGCCCAGAAGGGGATGGACCCCAACACATTAACTTACACGTGCTGGCTCTACAAGGGGTCAAAGTCACTAAAGGAATGAGATGTTAAACCCGATTTCACACAATTCACCCAGCACCTGCACCGTTGCTGAGATGAACTTCAGTTGTTCCATCTGGAAAAATATGAATGACCAGAGAGCAAGCACCTCTATCTCTTCTGGTGACCTGTATGAGCATGCGGTATTAGACATTTATATTATACATATGAGGCATATTAGCTGCATGCTTGGAAGCGGTGACCATCCTAGATGTCTTAGCACTATGTATCCCCTCTAAATAAAGAGTGCTAGAGGCCCAAAACTCAGAGATACATAGAAGACTTCCAAAAGCTGTCCACAGCAAACAAATAATTTACTAAGAATCACTTAGTGGTTAAAGATGTGCAAAAAAAGGCAAAAGGCTTGTGGTGACGGAGCTTTATCTGAACAGAATCTCCTAAGAGAGCTGCTGAAGACTGCTGTCTGCATGGACATTACAAATTTGCAGCTCGGTGTCAGTGAGTCACTTCTGCCTAGAAGTACTCATGTATGCAGAGTAGAAACCCCGTAACTTGTCGGAGGTGTATGAGATGGACGATGCCCACCCCTTCTTGCTCACTTGCTATTTATGTGCATGTGCTCTTCTCCCAAGAGGAGCAGCCCTTTAGGGTGCAGACAGGTATAACAGCTATATAAAACTTATATAAGCTGTTTCCCATGAGTAGTAACTACTTCAGCTGATTTCTGAAGCATGACAGTGTCTGGGCTCTATCCTTGGTATTATTACCTTAATGCAGACAACTGGAGAGATATTAGAAGTTGTGAACCCGTGAAGAATGGGTCAGTCTTACTGAATATTTTTCTGTGAACTGATTTCCGGCCAAAAAGACGTCTGTCATTTTTCACAGTGAATCCTTAGTAGCAAGTCATGTTTAATGTTATTTTACAGAGCACTAGCAATACGTAAAATAAAATACATTAAACTATTTGGCAGATAAAACCCACTTAAGAGTCTGTCATCATGGCTTGGCTTCATTAAAAACCCTCTAGTAAAATAGTTGTTAATGCTTAGAAAAAATAGGAATGAATTATGTTGCATTGATTACAGAAGAATGTTATTCAACTCATCTGTCAAAATCAGCAGGAATGCTTTGCTAATAATCATCTTCATTAACACGTGCAAATTAACATTAATTATATAAAGACTTCTATATATAAACATAATCCCTTCTTTTCTGAAAATGAACTAAAACACAGCTGGATAATAATTCCTCAAAGTTAGTAAATTATAGCCCACTCCTTCAGCTGAAATGGTGACAAAAATGTTTCCAGAATGACTGTTCTGAAATTTCAGTACATACAGAAATGAATACAATATGATGAATAGGGTATGCTGTTCATATGATGATTACTTTTTAAAAAGAGAGAAGGCAGAGAGACTATTTTCTCTGCAATACTTAGGCTGTCTTCCTTTGGAAGAACAGATTTTCTGTACTTTTTGTCAATTGTTTGCCAGATTTTTATTCTATTTAGCTTTATAGTCTACTAGCTAAAGAAAGGAATGCTTTAACTTTCATGCACATGTATTAGAATTAAGACTTATGAACAGTAACGTGTGAGATGAAAGCCTTGTAGACAAGACACAGAAACTAGAGCTGCAGGTCCTGAGGAACATTTTTCATTCTGCTACAGACTCTCAGAATGATCTTTGCCAAATCTCTGATTTTCTCTTTTTCTTTGGTTTCTGCACACATCTTGCAGAATCACACGTAGCAAGGCTAAAAATTAGTGTGAGTTTCTATCTCCTCTCAAGAGTTCTGCATGGAAGATGTTACCAAAGTGGAAAGTATTAGTGAAACTGGCTAGTGTGTTAGGGAGGTTTCATAATAAAAATACAATGATTTAGGCTCAGTAGGAGCTTTCTCATCTGCTTCCTTTCTGTCTCCTGCCCCTCACCATTTCTTCTTTCACCAGATATCAGTGGGGTAGAGAGAAGGTAGGAGCTCATCCTTTCTAAAGCAGGAACGATAAGTTTTAGCACCAGATGGGAAATCGATAGGGTCAGAGCGTATAGCTTACCAGCTCATCTATAGGCCCGCTAAAATCAAAGACAAAACACCTACTGATTTCAGTTGCACAGGACAAAGCCCTGAACTGGGTGACAGCTTTCTTCTTGGCTTGAAAGCAGATGGGACTGGAAATAGCAGGACTGGGCAGCCCAGTCTTCTGAGAGGGTGAGAAAGACTTGAGCAATCGGTGGTGCTACTTGTAAGCTTTAAGTTACAATTCTACTTAAGCATTGTCCTGGTTCTGGCCAGGATAGAGTCCTTTGCTAGGAAGGGCTCTTATCTGCCACTACCACCTCACAGGAGGTAAGGGAGGATCTTTAAGCTAAATTTGTACATGCTCAAATAAAACGAGGACGGGAGATTCTTTCACGGTACAAGGTGATATCGAACAGTCAGAAAGGCTTCAGGTTCTGTGGTAGCAGAGGAGGGACCGAAAGCACTGGTCGCAATGATAAGGGGAAGGCCTGGAGACTTTTGCAGTTCAGCTGGGCAAGGAGAGAAACGCAGAGGCCACAAACCTGTAAGGTTAGTTAGATCCACTGCTTGAGAAACAACTTAAACAAACAAAACTTAAAGGCATAAACATCCTAAGAGAACCATCATACCGTTCAGGAGTGGCTGGTGATGCCCTGGCACAGGAAGTTTGCTAAGAAAGCGTTTTAAGTCTGAACATTCACTTTTCCTAGTTTTTTAGTGTTTACCTTCTAATATATGCCTAGCCAAAGAAGTTTGAGTTTTTAAGGGCCTACCTGAACACAAAGTAAACAGATGAGTAAACCTCAACTTTGATGAAGGTGGCCAGCACAGCACTGGTTTGAATAGATGGCTCTGGGGACAGTGACTATTGAAACTCAGATGTTTCTAACACTGGGCTCCCAAGAAAATCTGACTCCGTCATTGTAATTTTCTCCCTCTGCTCCCATTTCAGTTTAATTCGCAATTGGAAATTTTTCAAAGGGACACAGGACTTTCGCTCCACAAACTTTTCATTGGCTGCCAAAATTCTGGCTGTGCTGCACCCACCCCCGAGGGTGCTGGCCAGTTTGCCAGCACTGCCGGCATCTCCTGATCTCAAGGAAGGGATCACAGCAGCAGCATTTTTCTCCCAGGGGATATAACAAGGTGTTTACGAAGGAAGGCTAACTCACCTGCTCCTTAAACTATGCAAAGCGCAAGGTGCAGACTCTTTTTCACCTCATAGAAACCTTAAAAGGATAGGTAAATAATCTTAAATGTGGCAATGGCCCTAATCAACATTATGAGACTCTCGAGGTGGCAATGCTCAGATAATTGAAAACTGCAGGGGAAGACACTTGATAACGGTGCCTGCACTGTCAGGCTCTTTTCATCTTCTCATCTCTGGGCAGGGAAAGAAGGGAAACGGCCGAGCAAATTGTTTAGCCATGTCTCTGGTATTTTGCTGCAGCTGTGTCCTGGCCAAGATCAGGTCGGCTCTAATAGCCCCTTCCTCCCTTGCTGCCGAACTAAGGAGCAAATAAGCCAAGGGGGCTGCTGGAAGAGGAATGTCGTGCCTTCAGCGGGGTCAGTGAGGCTGTGCAAAGGGAAAAAGCTTATTAAAAAAATTCCCTCACAAACTTCTTAGCTGAATCTCTGCTCCTTCTCTTTGCAGGCACAGATGGGATCACTAATTAATAGCAGCAATAGTATTTTTTTCATTAAGAAAAGGCGTGTTGCTAATTTAGAGTTCACTGGGTTCACTAGATGAAGCAGTGACATAGTGTCACTGTACAGCAGTACTTAGGCTTTCAGTACATTAACACTATTAATGATTATTTCAGTAATAATTTTATTATAATGTCATTTAAAAATAAAAAATAATGGGATATAAGGGCATTTTAATGGGTGTGGCCAGTTCAAGAGCTTTACTCCCCTTGTTCTTTCATGGTTTTTTGCACACGTATTCTGGGTTTGTATTTCAAAGCCCAGACTGCACTTCTAGACTTGGCAAGGAGAAAAAAAAGACAATACATTGTCTTATGCATAAATATATGCTAGAAATGCTATAAAACAGTTTAACAGTTTTGCTTTCTCTTTTCAAATAGCTTCAAAGTGTAACTCTAACAAACTTTCATAAAGGCAACTGTTACCAGCTCGCAACTATTATCTAATTCCAATGAAAACTTTAGCATAATGAAACTTTTTAAAATATGAAAAACAATAGCAGAGAAAAACAGAATGACCAAATAAATAATGAAATTATATATATATAA